GAGAAAAACACCCCGAGCACAATAGAAGTCGTAACAATAAAAGTCGAAACAATAAAAACTGAACTTCCAATAAATAGTTTTGACTTAGTTGCCACTCACTATACACCTACATCAAACTAAAAATATTAAAAATAGCTTTATACACCTACAGCATAAAAAACATTGATGATAGACAGAAAAAAACACCAAATTACACCTACCAATTTTTCAAATTGCACAAATAATTGTACTTCGTTATTAATTTTATCAAAACGTCAAACATAGTCCAGAGGCTACGAGTGTTCATCATGATTTTTAAAATAGAATATTATAGGAAGCCATTTTTAATTAGTTAAAATACAGCTAAGTAAAAAAGCCCAATGTTTCTATGGATGCTCGATCCCTGAAAAATTATGTTGCTTTTGGCTGAAAGTTATTTTATTATTGCCACTACATAGTTTAATAGTGCGATTGCAATGCTATGCCTTCTTCGGGCGATGATTAAGCAAGTCAAAACAACAACGCCAAATCTCCTTTTTCTAAGCTCGAAACAAGTTCTGCAGATATATAAGCGGGCAAATCTTACCGACTCTAAAACAACCAGTCGATGAATTTTTGACTTGAAAAATGATTGGCATAAAATTATACCGTTTTTTCAACTGCTTCCTGTTTCTTATTGCATTACCGGCTAGTGCATCATAGAGATGAAAGATGAAAACAATGACTTGTCACAACATGATTTTGCTCAGCAGCATCTTATTCAGTTTCGCTCTTGCTCCATTCAAAGCAGCTCAATTTCTCAATATGCAATTTTAAAAAAGAAAGACACATTGATTAGTGCATTTCTCCATCAACTCGCAAAAAGTGGCAAATAACAATGATCTGCACTGATTTTTTTCTGCAACGTCACATCCAAGGAAGTTTGCAGTAGACAAATTGCGGAATCAAATTGAAGGAAACCCCGCATTCGGATTGAAGATAAAAAAAAATCCAGAGTCGAGAACAACTGGTACGAGCAATTCCAGTTTTTGTGAACAAACTCATTAAAAAAAACTTGCACCCCACCCTATTGTTCCGACTTTTGAAGAAAGTGACAGCTCTAGTGGTTTTTCCCAGACAATTTTTGAATCTTTATTCAGCAATTTTTGGCCATATTTTTAATTCCATTCGAAAGATTTTGCTGTTCCGAGCACAAACTCAAAAAGATATTTTGCATGTAATCATTTTCTGTAAAATTATGGGTTTTGAAAGAGAGAAAAGAGAGAGAAAGAGAGAGACAATAGATAGCAATTCATTTTTTGAGTGCACAAAAAATTTTCAGAAAAGCTGAAAATGCTCGCTCCAGTTGTTCTCGACTCTGAACGAATAAAAAAAAATCTTTCTTTAAATCTGTGGAGATTTAATCTGTCTTAAAAATCATTCCAATAATTCCTCAGAAATCGTTCAAGCAGGCCGTTAGCCATAAATGCTGAGTTACCAGGAGTGAAACCTATTCTTTTGTACTTAAGATAGTGTGGAGAGATGATTTTTTTTAATTTCAAAAACAAAAAATTTTGAAAATTTTATCAATATTTTTAAAGCAAACACTGCTCCTTAGACATTGAAAGGCAGTCGGAACATTCAGGACTTCGAGGTGTTAAGAGAAGCCTTGATTGTTTCAACGACGATTTCTTTTTATCTTGTTTCACTTTTTTTCAGTCCTTAGTTTTTAAAAGCGTATCATAAGCTCTAGGTCAAGATTGAACAAAAACCATGCTACGAAACTCGTCCCTCATTTTTTATTCGATTACTAAAGTTTATAACTACAAAATTTTCCATTGCAAACAAGACTGCTCGTATCAGGGCGAAACCCTGAATGTTCCAATTGCCTTTTAAGGTCTATGGAGCAGTAATAACATGATTTTTTCTGGACTTAAAATTTTTGTGAAAATCATCCCCCCACATGCTATATACAAAACAAAATGATAGATTTCGTGTCCCGACTTGCCCTCATTGCTCCGACTGCTTTTCAAGGTCCATAGATCAGTAATAACAAGAAAAAACAAATCTAATAAAAACAAAATGTTTTTTTTTTTTTTAAATTGGGGGTTTTTTGTATCCCAACTTGTATCCCGACACGCCATATCAAGTACAAAGTGATAGGTTTCGCTTCCATTAACAAATCAATTTGGCAAATACGCTTCCTTTAACCAATTTGGAACGATTTTTAAGACGGATTAATTCTCCGCCTACGCCTTAATAGCGCAAAATTTATCGCGCGTTAATTGTCCCAAATTGGCCAAAATGGCAATCTTTAAAATCTTGTAGCTTAACAAGTGAAATATCTTTTCACATTTAAATTCAAGACACCAACAGCAATACTTTTTGAATGATAGATAAAAAAAATCCGTCAAAAATGGCTAGTTAAAAAGTCAAAATTTGTCTGAAGAAAAAAAGCCATATGGAGCATAATTTTTCTCGATCCCTGAAAAATTATGTTGCTTTTGGCTGAAAGTTATTTTATTATTGCCACTACATAGTTTAATAGTGCGATTGCAATGCTATGCCTTCTTCGGGCGATGATTAAGCAAGTCAAAACAACAACGCCAAATCTCCTTTTTCTAAGCTCGAAACAAGTTCTGCAGATATATAAGCGGGCAAATCTTACCGACTCTAAAACAACCAGTCGATGAATTTTTGACTTGAAAAATGATTGGCATAAAATTATACCGTTTTTTCAACTGCTTGGAGCATAATTTTTCTGTTACTTTTGTTAGGAAATTCGGAACAATAATTCGAATACTAATGAAATAATAGGAAAAAAGGAACAATGAAACTAATAAAGCCAAAAGTTGTAGAAATTTCAAGCTTATTTATTTGTTTTATTGGAATTGTCCGAGCATATATTTGAAGGAAAGATATCAGGCGTTCTTAGGCTTGGAATATTAGAAAAAAAAAGAAATTATGCGGCAGTTTGAAGTAAATTCTGAAAAAAAACAAAGGAAGCGCTTGTACGATGGCTAAGTAAGGAACGCTTCATCAGCGTTTAAGTGGGCGTTAAATGTTTTGTCAAGAAAACTTCACCAAAAATTCACCATTAATTTTTATTTTTGCTATGATCAAGATACATAAAACCTTAAAAGCACTTATAATTTGACACAAAGCATGACAAAAAGGGTCATATTTAAACCCTTCTAAAATTTACCAAAGATAATCGCATCTATTTTTTAACTTGAATTCAGGTAGTTAATATTTTCATTAGGTTTATAAAATGTGTCCGTTGAAAAATGGTATTTTGATAGTCGAAACTGGTCCAAATAAAAAACCACTGCAGCATATATAACCCGTTGCTTTTTTCGAATACTAAAACAACCAGAAATTCAATTTAGGTAGGTGATTTAAATTAAATTTATCAATTCTGGCTTTTCAGAAACACATATTGTTCCGACGGAAGAAAATAACGGAATATTTGAGCTCGGGGTGTTTTTTTTTTCAGACATAGTCGACTTTTTATCTGGCCATTTTTGATAGAGTTTTTAAATATCATTCAAAGGGTATTGCTGTCTTGAGCCAAACTTGGAAAAATTTTTCATATAAGATCATGTTCCGTAAATTTATGAGGGTTTAAAAATTGCCATTTTGGCCAATTTGGGACAATTAACGCGCGATATATTTCGCGCTATCAAGCGGAGATTTAATCCGTCTTAGAAGTTTCTCCAGGTTGGTTCAAAGAAGCTTAGTTGTCATAATTGATTTGTTACCAGGAGCAAAATTTATCACTTTGTATATTATATGGCGTGTGGGGGGATGATTTTCACAAATCTCAAATTCAAATTTTTTTTCAATTTTTTTTTTCAAATTCAAATTTTAATTTTTATATTTTTCTTTTTGGAACGATTTTGTTGAGCAAGAAAATTCGCCATGTATAAATAGCTCGCAATACGCTCTCAGCAATATGAATAAATTCTTCCAAGCGCGGGTAATTCAGTCCAGAATTTGTCCAATTTGGCCATTTTCAAACCTCCAGAACTTACAAAAAATAATTGGAATTAAAATGTTTTTTTTTAACATTTGAACTCAGGAAGTTGATACCTTCAATGGGGTATAATTTTTTGTCGAAAACTATTATTTCGATGGGCGAAAATTGACTGATTAAAAAAAACCCGAGCATAAATATCTTCGAAAGTCGGAACAATAATTCGTCGGGAAAAATTTTTACCTTTTTAAACAAAAAAGAAAATCGATATTTTGAAGTGATTTGAATTACCAAAAGATGAAGAGAAAAATGTACGGGACTGTTTTAAGCAGAGTGACGCTTTGAATGATGTTCCGACCACCACTTCTGAAGTAAATCCCCACACCCCCAAAAGAAATTATATTTTTGCGCTTGATACCGTATTGATAAATTCCAATAGCTTGCCTTTTAAAGAAGTTTTCTAGCCTTAAGCAATTCACGTCTTGCGTGTTAGTAGAACAATATCTAGCGCGTTTAGTGTCCCCAATTGATCAAATAGGCAACTTTTAATGCCCATATTTTTTCAAAACAAGTCTCAGATGAAATATTTGTTAGATTTGAAGCTCAAGATATAAAAACCTTTTTCAAAATATGCTAATTGTTTATTCCTAAAAATAAAAAATTGTCTGAAGAAAAAAAACAGCTAGAACTTAAATTTTCGGTCATTTCGTTCTAAAGCCGGACCAATGAAAAACATCAAAATATAAAAATGAGTGCAATGGAGGCGAACTCCGACATCATGACAAACGTGGGCTTGAATTTTGATAAGAAAAAAATGAGCGAGATAAGAAGTTGGTTGCTGCAACCACTAAATATCTAAACTAATCAAGATAAGAGATGATATCTAGCAATTAGTTTACTTAGACGAAGTTTTTGTTGATTTAATTATTCAAATTTTTCAGAGGTTTTTCAGAATACCAGGCTCGAACCTACGTGAAATGACTTTTCTTGGGAAGATGTTTTAATTCATGCGCTCGAAAGATGAACAATTCATTCGGATTGCCTAATTTATTGACAAAACTCCTACCTTTTTCAGCAAAGTAGCCCATCGTTATTTTGAAATGCTAGTTGACACAAAAATTGAAGGAAAATTGAAAAAAATCTGGTTGTAAATATTTCAAATCTCAGAAATTAATGGAATGGGAGGGGAACTCTATTAATACGGGAAAAAATGTCTTTTGTTTGAAGTATTAACTCGTGTTTGTTTATTTAGAAAAATCGAAATGCACCTCTTATGGATGCTTTTGTTTCGAACAAAGTAGTCAAAATCTGTATTGGAGTAAAGCTTCAAATATTTACGAGAAAACTCACAAAAATTGAAAAAGTCCACACTAGAAAGATAATTCCTGTGTATGTTGCATATAATATTTCTGAATTATTGTTTTATCGGAAAAACAAGCCGCAAAACTGCCTCGTATGTTTCAAAGCAGGACTTAATCAAGAGATTTATAAATTGAAAGCTATGCTGCAAGTCCTTTGTACAAACTTCTGATGATGGAGCCACCATTTTAGTTAAAATTTGAATTAAGCAAATTGAAAAAAAAAACAGTCAAAAGAGCTAATAAAAATCTTTTTTTTTCTCCAAAAGTTTCTTTTAAATTGTATCTTAATGGGTTATTTTTCAACGCCAAGTTTACACAAACAAAAGAAAAAAATTTAAAATATTTTCTGAAGATTTCATTTATAAAACAAGACTGTTCATATCAGTGCATAAACTTGAACGTTCTGAAATCCCCTTAATTGATGCTGAAGAAAACGTTTTTATGCTGAATAAAACGTTTTTTGGCAAAGAAAACTTTGATAATAACTAAATTTTGAGCTTCCTTTGTTTTTTCTTGCGCAACAGTCAAATTGTAATAGCGCATGATAGATATTTTAGTCGCATATCGCATAGGTATTTAACGTGAGCAATAAGCACGCCTCAAATCAATTGGAATTGAATTTAAGCGCTTGATAAATCGCCAAGATTGAACAACTTGCGCAAGGGCTTTTTTTGTCGCCTTCGTTAAACTCTCAAAGCGCAATTATTTTAGCTAAAACATAGCCAAACTGGCATTTTTCAAGCTCACATAATATGCCCCAAATGTTTGCCAGTAAAACATATTTTTATATTGGAATTCGGGGAACCAGTATTTTTTTTGGAGTATGAAAGTATTTAGCTGAAACTATTATTTCAATAGCTAAAATTGGTCTAATAAACTAATCATCCTAAACATATATATTCCGTAACAATTTTTGAAGTTCGCAATGAAAAATTTTCGTATCAGGACAAAACTAGGATTGTTTGAACTGCCTTTCAAATGTCTTTTTTTAACTGACAATCTTTTTTCAACTGTCTTTCAATTCTTTTCGTTCCAAAAAATGAATGTTTAAAAAAATTGAAGTTTACTTTCAGATTTTTTTGTTAGATCTTCACCTCCACACGATTTGTAAGAAAACAAGGCTGCTCGTATCAGGGCGAAGCCCTGAATGTTCCGACTGCCTTTTAAGGTTTATGGAGCAGCAGTAAAAGCATAAAAAAATAAAATGAAATAAAATAAAAAGAAAATTTTTTCTAAAATTTGAAACTTTTTCGATGAAAATCATCCCCCCACACGCCATATAAAGTACAAAAAGAGAGATTTCGTTCCTTGTAACAAATCAATTATGGCAAATAAGCTTTGTTCAATCAATTTGGAACGATTTATAAGACGGATTAAATCTCCGCTTACGCGTTAATAGCGCGAATTACATCGCGCGTTAATTGTCCGAAATTGGTCAAAATGGCCAAAATGGCAATCTTTAAACCCTCATAACTCTACGAAAAATGATCACAGGTGAAATATCTTTTCAAATTTAAGCTCAGGACAACAATACCTTTTGAATGATATAAAAAAATTCCATCTAAAATGGCTAGTTAAAAAGTCGAAATTTGTCTGAAGAAAAAAAAACCCACCCCGAGCACAAATATTCCGTTACTTTCGTATCGAAAGTCGGAACAAAAAACGATGTGTTTCGCGTCTAGTGACTTGCTAAAGAGCTACTCTCTCCAAGCATTTTATAACGCCTACGTAAGATACATAGCACTGGTTTAATTAACAAAATTTGCTAAAGTTGATAAAGTTGCAAAAACATACCAATTATATTCGAGTTCAAGATATTGATAGTTTTCAGGTGGTATAAAAATATCCGTCAAAATGGCTAATTATTTTAAAATTCATCAAAAAACTACACAGAGATTAAATTTGCCCCCAACCTCTTTCAAAAGACGGAACAAAAACTTGTTTTATGTGTATTTCAGAAATATGAGCTCATTGAACCAAGTGGTGGAGATCGCATCGAAACAAAATCTGTTGTGAATCTTAACAAAATAAACGATCATTCAACTTTACTAGTGAGATAAAGGTTTGGGCTCTGAATCGAAGCTTCCTTATTTAACATTTAATAAGGTTGTGGCAATTTCAAATTTTTACTTTCTAAACCATTTTAAGAACCCTTTTGGACAACATTCACATAAAGTTTCACAAAAAATTTAATTTGACCGACTGCAAATGATCTACCTTCTCTGAAAAACTCAAATTTTTAATTGGAATTTCAACGGTAATCTCAGTTACTTTTTTGGACCATTTTCATTTGGACCTTCAAGCCAGTTTTTACCATTTGATCAACTTTTTCTGCGATTCTAAACTTTTTTTTTCGTCTCAGCTCAGTTTTTAAAAATGATCAGGCGACGTAAAACATTTCATATGGGATGATTGAGTTGTTCAGTCTGAAACAGTCTGAAATTTTATCTCAATTCTGTTTATTTTTTTATACAGTTTTAAAAAGTTACGATAGTAGAGAAAATCAAATGCAAACTCAGGTTTTTATAACCAGCCTATTCGTAACAAGCTTAATTTAAGGAAACACTTGAAAATGTTCTCAGATCTTTTAGAAAAAAAATATATCGATCGACAGCAAATAATCTAAATTACCCTCTCTAAAAGTCTTAATATTCGATTTAAAACACCTGCCAATTTGTGAGTCTCAAAAATCCCGTTTTCACCAGCTGTTTAAAATCTGTGCTCCTTGTAAATTATCAGAAGCAACAGAGCTGAGAAAAATTGTCACCGAATTTTACAATTTTCTCGTTTAAACTGCTTAAAATCGCATGAGCATTCCTGTCGAATCCGCTTGTGATTAAAAATGATAAATCTGCAACTTTGTCGAATCCGCTAGTGATTACAAACGGTGAGCAGAGCTGGTATTTCAAACCATAAAGTGAGAGTTTCAAAAGTTAGTTCAAATCATTTGCAGTTTAATGATATAAAATATTTGATAATAATATTAGCAAAATTAGTCAAAATTGTTTTTAAAATAAGGCATTTCAGAGAAAAAATTTGGTGCCATTACGAGGCCAAACTGTGCATTCTCTGCATTTTAAGCGGAATCCGTAACAGGACATATCGTTCTTGCAACATTGCTACTTTTCTTGTACCGCTCAACATTGTACATTTTGGGACATATTTGAAGACTTGTCTGTGGAATCCAGGAACATACAGTCACAAAATTGTGCTCCTATCCAGTGCACAGTTTGGCCTCGTAATGGCTGTTGCGTTTAAATTTGTCAACTAATATATTAAAATCGTTGAAAAATTGCAGACCCATTAAAACCTGGCAAGTTCTTCAAATTAAAACTTGAGAATGTCAAAGAGGGTAGTTCAAATCATTTGCTGTCGATCGAGATAAAAATTTTTTTGAAAAGTTTATTAAATATAGTCCAAATTTGCCCTTAAAAAAGGCATATTAGAAAGTAAAAAGTTTGATTTTAATTTTCCCACAAGTGTATAGTCTTAATTGTTTCATGAGAAGCGTTTGAGTTTGTCACCCTCATTGACCAAAATTTATTTGTATTGGGTGAAAAAGTGCATTTTTGGACAAATTAACTGCAATTTTACGTTTTGTTTTTGGACACAAGTAACTTTGAAATCTTTACGCCGATTGACCGCAAAAAATTTGAACGTCTTGAAGTCTCAATTATTCTTACTATTTTGGGTCAGAAATTGTCAGTGGTCCCAATTTGTAATAGTTTTTATATGGGACTGAACACTTTTTTGAACATGGGAATGAAAAAAGCTGATCACGCGATGTGAAATTTCTGAATGTTCAGTTCAACTCATCACATCAAAGAAAATTTTTTTTACCAATGGTGAAAATTGGCATTTGTAGACCCAGAATAAATTGGATAAGGCTTCAAATCAAACTTTGAACTTTTCAGAGAGAGTAATTAAGTTAAATGCCTTTCAGGCGAAGTATAACTTTTGATAAAATTCAACGAAATAATGTCAAAATTGGTCATTGAAATTAGGCGTTTTAAAGAATAAAAAACTGAAATTGCGTTTATTTATTTGTCCATTAGTGTAATTAGTTTATTTGATTAATGGTGCATCTTTATTTTATTCAGGTTCGAATCTCAAGTTTGAGTAAAATCGCAAATTTTGTCAATCTATTCTTGCATCTAAACTAAATTAGGAATGTCTTTTAAAGAATGGTTCGCTAGCTCTCTCAAAACACTATGAAGATCCAAGTTTGGCAAAATTTTCTGCGTTGCAGAAAAATCTAAAGAAAACAGGCCAAAATGAAGTTGTTGAGCATTTTTTGGAAATTCTTGGTCAAAATGGGGGTGGATTTAAAAAAACTGATGTGGACACCTTTGACCTCTCAAGAAATTTGGTTCCCTCGCCACCCAAAGGGTTCCTCATTTGGTACTTTTTAGATCATGAATTTTTCCCAACAGATCAAAAAATTTTTTTTAAAGTTTCTTAGCCGTCAATGTATTATGATTTTGAAGCAAGCGCGACAAAAGAAACGCAAGCTTTTGGTCAAATAAAATACTCAAGAACGGCAATTTTGACTCATCATTCTCAAAATTTTGCTTGCTGCATTTGCCTCAAATTGATTCGAAAAAAAAAACTCTGAGCACAAACTTAGTTTGGAGTTTTGCCAATAATAATAACTTGCACTTTATTGCGAGTTTGAAGGCCTAAGATTTCAAATTAAAAAAATGGCAATTTGGCTCCTTTTAGTCAATCAAAACAATTTGAGTCAAATTTAATTAAAACTGCCGGGTGAGTAATTGAAAATGAGATTTTTAAAAGACCCAAAATGGACTATAATGGTTAAAACTGG